GCTGGAGCTTTCCACAACCGCTACCGCTATTCGGTACGCGTGAAGAGATACAGTCCGTGGCATTATCGATGCCGGCTGGATCAGGTGTGATCACAGCCGTATATAGTACAGTCAGTGTCCTTAACCATATAGTTGGTGAGCACAGACTGGCGTATAAGTGCAGTCCCAGGATTTCATAAGTGCATAACCTGACTTTAACGTAAAAGCCGGACGAGGAAAGCACAACAAGCACAACCAACAAACTCGTCAATGAGTTCATTACCTTTATGGTGGTCGCAATTGTATAGGTCCCTTCATTAATAGAGAAAGATGCACCGAGTGGTACGGGTCTGTTGCTGAAATGTGACTGCGGCTGCCCTAGGCGGTTAGATCTTCACTTGCTGTCGCGGTGCATAAGCCCTAAATGACTGTTTCCATTGGTGACTAGGGTATGTGCCTCGGTCGAGCAATGTCGACGAACAAGTACTTGCATTGTGTTAGATGATAAGACTTCATTATTTGTTTGCCCAAGGTGAAACGGTGAAGCAGAGGCCTATGTCAACAGGCAAAATACTCAAGTCCCACTTAGGTTACCATATACGAGCTGTTTCGGCTACTGAACATGCTGCCCTCCGCCAGTATTCCATTTTTTTCTGTTAGACGTTCATGGTAAATGCACGCTAACCTTCAGAACGGCAGCGAAGGACACAACCCATAAAGATCGCTCGCGGCCGTACTGTAGGACGAATCGGCTAATTCTCGTCGCTGCGCTGTGGGCCGAAATCAGGAATGAGATCACTGATAAGCTCATTACATTTTTGTGCCACATCAGGCCCAAGTTCCAGAAATAGGTGTAAGTTCATGCCAAGGGGTGACTAGTGATGTATTTTGTGGCCGAGTCCTGCAGGGTCCCGACTTCAGAATACAGCGTCATCGAGTGGTACAGTCGGTAAGGCTACCAGGAACCCGTCTGGGCAGAACGACCCTTAAAACCAGAACGAGTCTCCGACAAGTTTCACCTGCTTATTCGCCATTTCGTAGAGTAATCTAACCACTTGACGGTGGAGGTCCTCCAGCCTAGCAGACAGTTACCGTCCGGCAGGAACTCTTATGCCGCTTGTGTTTAGTAATGTTCCAACTGTAGCTATAAAGGCCAAAATAAGCGGTTACGACAATGTTACTTAATAACTCGGCGTGCTCCGCCCTATGCGTCAAAAGCCGCCCGTAAAAATATGATCCGTCTATTATAAGTTATGAGGGTTTTTCGACGCTATTTACGTTTGGCATAAGTCTTTCCTTGCGGACCTAGTACCAGATCTTCGCGGAAGCCGTGAAAAATCCAAATCACATGACCGCAGAGGCATTCATTTAATCGAAATATTCATCGATCGCCTGAAAAAATTTCATTTTATACAAATAAATGCTCATGAGGGACATGTCTAGTGACGATACGTGCAAGGTTTTAATCTTTGCTCATGGCTGAGTTGAGTTTCATCCATAAGAGAGAGGTATTGAGTTTCTCTTCAGCATCGCAGGGCGCATCAGTATTCCATATCATGATCTTGCTAACCGGCATAACGTTACAAACTGGGGCTGGTTCTTCGTCCAGTAGGTGCTCTTCACAGGCCATAATATAGGCTGCCACGTCCTCTGGGGGGTTAAACTTGTTCCCAAAGAGCTTACGACCTCTGAAATTGGCTGAAAACGCACCATCGGGGCTGAAAATGACAGAAAGGAGTCTATTTTGGAGGGGAAGGTACATTTGAGTATAAAAAGGTGAATCATGTCGAAAGAGCAATAATAAAACTGCTGAAATGACTGTGTTAAGTATTCGGGAAAGGAGATTTGTTGAGCGACCTACTTGGGAGTTTGAAGGGCACGATTGTGAAACTGTAACATGATGGGCTTTACACTCTGGGTAACTGCTTAACGTACAAATCTAGCAACAGAGAACCCAGCGTACGTCAGACCACGTAACCTGTAATATACGTAACTGCCCCCATCACGGCGTCCGCGGCAGCCGAAGTGGCCGGAAGTCTAGTAGTGGGTCCGGGGACAGTTGAACAGTCTGGTCGATTTGCAGAGCGGCAAAAAAACCAAGCATAACATGGTGCAACATAGGAACTATCGTCACCGGCAATGCAAACGCGTCATTCACGACACTAGTGGACATGGTGTCGCAATCGCTCCAAGTGGTCAGGCTAAAGCTTTACATAGTAGCCGGCTTCATTTAGGAGTGTGCTGGTGCCCTGGTAATGTTGTTACTAAGGTTACGGATGTTGCGGCATATGCCCCAACGCTGGATACAGATAGATTTTCTATGAACTTCGCAATACTGTCCGATAGATCCTTGTGTTCGATATTTTCCTCGCGGGAGGTTACAACCCCAGACGGGGAGGTACGAAGCGTCTACGGGGAAAACGCTTGAGCATTACGCAGCGTGGAGCCGTTACATGAATGCCTGACAAGTCTCCCGTTCTAGACCGCTTGGTCGACACCCTGGGAGACACGTGGTCAACTAGCGCTCCAATGGTAGCCGCGGACGAAA